CCGCGGCGAGCCCCGCAAAAGCGGCGGGGGAGCAGGAAAGGGAGGGGGACGACGACCAGACGCAAGAGGACGAAGAGGAGGAGACAATGTGGTGCACGGAGGCGTTGTTGCGCACACGTCCGTTGCACGATACAAAAAAATTGCGGTATACACGGGCGACGTGGTGATGGCTTCCGCGGTCCTGTGGTGGGCCCCGCAAAAGAAAAATCACAAGCTACTGATGTGCCCGTCGGCACGTTGAGTTGTAGACAGGCGTTGTGGTGTACGGAAGCACTGCGGCGTGCGAAGGCACTGTGGTGCACATGGTCACTGCGGCGCACACAAACAATGTGGTGTACACAAGCGCTGTTGCGCACACGATTGCTGCAGTATGCACAGATATTGCGGCGTACATGGGCGACGTGGTGGCTTTGTGCACGCAGCTGTTGTGGTGAACCGGAGCACTGTGGTGCACTCGGGCGGCGTTGTTTTGCACGGGTGCATTTGGCATTGTTGCGTGCGCAGGGATTGCAGTCTCGCGCAGGCAATTTATGTGCCGATGGCGCGGACGCACCCTGGCGGGCGCGCGCCGCGGTCGCCGTTACCGTTACCCGCCGCCGCCCCCTCCCGGGCAGCAGCTCTTACCTGTAATTGTAAAACAGTCTCTATTACGACTAGTGACACCACTAATATTATTAGTGCTACTACAAATACTAGTATCATTACTATTACTACTACTACTACTACTAATGCTACTACTACTACTACTACTACTACTACTACTACGACTACTACTACTACTACTACGACTACTACTATTTTTACTACTACTACTACTACTACTACCATGACCACCACTACGACTACTACGACTACTATTACTACTACTATTACTACTACTACTACTACTACTACTACTACTACTACTACTACTACTACTACTTTTACTACTACTACTACTACTACTACTACTACTACTACCACTACTACTACTACTACTACTACTACTACTACGACTACTACTACTACTACTACTACTACTACTATTACTACTACTACTACTTTTACTACCACTACTACTACTGGTACTAGTACTTGTAATAGTACTGCTACTACGACTACCACTACTACTACTACTACTACTACTACTATTATTACTACTACTACTACTGCTACTACTGCTACTTCTCCTGCTACTAGTTCTTCTACTATTGTTACTAATACGACTACTACTGCTACTACTACTACCACTACTACTACTACTACTACTACTACTACTATTACTACTACTGCTATTACTACTACTACTACTACTACTACTACTACTACTACTACTACTACTGCTACTACTACTACGACTACCAATATTACTAGTACTAGTACTACTGCTACTACGACTGCTACTACAACTTCTACGGCTACGATTACTAGTATTAATCCCCCCATCCTAAGATGGGGTTCTTGTTATTACTTGGACGCCTCCTACTCCTTCTTCCTCTCCCTCTTCTTCCTTTCTTCCTCCTCCTCATACCCAGACTTACGCATACACAGACTTACTCATACACAGACTTACTCATACACAGACCTACTCATACTCAGACCTGCTCATACTCAGACTTACTCATGCTGAGATTCACTCATACCCAGACTTACTCGTACTCAGGCCTTCTCATTGTCTGACTTACTACACACAGCAGATTGTGAGGATGTCTCAGGCTGGTTTCAGCACCCCTAAGGGGAGCCGCCGAGGGGTATGACTCGATCCCGTTCGCGGCCGCTTTGTGGGGATATCTTAAGCGGTTTGCCTATTTTCTGTCCCAACATCCTTCGCTTTCGGAGCAGATTTGGAGGATGTCTCAAGCGAGGCGCTCATTTTCACGCTCCTAAGGGGAGCTGCCGAGGGGTATGACACTGTCCCGTTCGCGGCCTTTTTGTGGGGTTGTCTCAAGCGGTTTGCTTGTTTTCTGCCCCAATATCCTTCGCTTTCGGGGCAGATTTGGAAGATGTCTCAAGCGAGGCGCTCATTTTCACGCCCCTAAGGGGGGCCGCCGAGGGGTATGACACGGTCCCGTTCGCGGCCGTTTTGTGGGGATGTCTCAAGCGGTTTGCTTGTTTTTGTATCCCAGCCTCCTTCGTTTTCGGGGCAGATTTGGAGGATGTCTCGAGCGAGGCGCTCATTTTCACGCCCCTAAGGGGCACCGCCGAGGGGTATGACACGGTCCCGTTCGCGGCCGTTTTGTGGGGATGTCTCAAGCGGTTTGCTTGTTTTTTATCCCAACCTCCTTCGCTTTCGGAGCAGATTTGGAGGATGTCTCGAACGAGGCGCTCATTTTCACCCCCCAGGTGCACCAGATTTTGAGGATGTCTTGTTCGGTTTGCTTCACAGGTTCTCCTCAGGATGCCACAGGACAACATGAGGTCCCAGGAGGCATCAGGAGGCAACAGAAAGCCTCAAGAGGCCACAAGATGTCCCAAGAGGCTCCAGGAGGTCCCAGGAAGCTCCAGGAGGCCTCGGGAAGCCACAGGAGACCCCAGGAGGCCACAGGGAACGCCAGGAGACTCCGGAA